GGTGGGGGAGAACTTCCCAACCCAACTCCATCATTTTGTGTTGCGTCAAACATGCATTGTCGTGGAGAAGAACACCTTTCCGATTGATGAGTGAAGGCTGTTTCTGATGAAGGGCGTGATTTAAATGTTCCAGTTGCTCACTATGGATCTCTGCATTGACAGTTCACTGTGGATTGAGGAATTTGAAATGAATTACTCCTTTGATGTCCCACCAAATGCAAAGCATCACTTTCTCCAGGCTTTGGAGTCAGAAATAGTTTTTGTCTAGGACTGAGCCATTGTTTTTGGCATTTAATATTCGCATAGAGAATCAATTTTTCATCACCAGTGACAATTCTGTCCAAAAATGGATCACACGCATTATGTGCCAGAAGAGCCGAAGCAACATTCACACATTAGAAACCATGATCATCGGAGAGTTTGTGAGGCACCCAAGCACATTCTTTATGGAGTTTTCCCATATTCCTTAGATGTTTACATATTGTTTCATGAGAAACATGCAATTTCTAGGCCATTTCACGAGCGTGTTGCATTGATTTAAACTTAACAAGCATCTTCAGAACATCAATATCAATTCCAACATGTCGGCCACTGCCATCACAGATTTTATGGCAAAATTCACCTGAACAAAATTTGCTGAACCATCATTGACACCTATGAATGTTCAAAACATTTCCATAAACTTCTTTGATATTTTTTGTGGGTACAGTAGCGTTGTTTCCCTTCTTGTTTTCAAACAGCATTACATGTGGAATGTGTGTCTTGTCGTTTAACTATTATAAGTGATGTACATTTTTTGTGGGGTGGTTAATGAAAGTGCTCCAAAATGCGACATTAATTTCTTGTATTCATTCAATGTTTAATTTCAGGGTATTAAATGTAAGTTTTTTTCTCAGTTGTAAATTGTTCATTATAATTATCAAGTTTCTGTTTTTGGTATTTTTATTTCATTTATTTTGGTTTTAGTTGTGTTTAATGATAATACTTCTTCTATTATATATTTTGAATTCAGTTTATCACTTCCTTATGTATTTTCATAATTCTTATTGAAGACTTTAGTTTCTCATTTTTATTTTATTTGTTATTTTGTTAGTCTGTCCACTCTTAAAGTGAACAGTGAATCTCTATTTTTTATTTTTTTTTATTTACTAAGTTTTATTTTGGTGTTATTGTAAGTGCATACCTATATTATTATTTTTAAATCATTGTTAAAGGTGTAATACGTAATTCAATGTTTGCTTTTATATGTTCATCATTGTTATATGGAATATGAGATAATGTTAAAAGGTGTTTTTGTGAATTAGAGGGTTATATTGTTGTATTATTTTTCTTGAATATGTCATAAACC